CTAAAATCGCATAACATGTACAACGTGTATGTTATTTAATGTCAAGGAAGAGCCCGTGGCAGTGAACAGAATGGGTATGTAAATGTAATCTACGATCTAGAATAGAGTACGTGATTTAATACATTGCTTTTGCATGCATTGTTAATGATAATGTTTTTTCCGTTCGTGTAATTTTCTTATAATCGTTACATTTCATCTTCATCTTTATTTCATCACTTCCATATAATAATTTTTATTTTTTTTTTTATTTTTACTTTAACTAGTAAGCATATATAACAACTGATTCATTTTTTTTCTTCTTGCTCGTTATTTTTCCGATACGATTACTCTTTCTCAATGATATGACGTGTCAATATGTAATAAAGTTACTCAGGGCGCCGCCAAAGCCAAACCATAATCGTTTTAGTCAATATAATTTAGCTATACAATTGTATATATCAAAACTTATAAAATACCCAAAACCACACTATGGCAGCTAACCCTGACCCTGCATTTTTGCGTGATATTTTCCCCCTTTTGATATGCGTTTAGAGCCATGCATTGGTCATTGATTTAAAACATTTAAAAGTTCGTGGATCTCGCGTGCGTGTATTATGTATATGTGCGTGATCAATCGAGTCGGTCTCGTTTTTTTTTTTTTTTTTCTTGTCGTGACGTTTCCGTCGATATCCGCAAGGCAATATCCTCGATTAGAATCGTGATAATAGTCGTTATTTAAAAGCCGGTGGTGGTGCCCTTTGTCCGTTAGTTTTCGACAAGTCCTCACTGGTCATCACCGTCACCAGTTCACCGACTGCTTTCCCTAAGTCTCCTAAAAGAGAATATTTCAATTTAATTTTTTGTTCGTGAATATAATTGAATTTCTCTACTCCTTTGCTCGCTATTATTTATAATATATGGATGAAGATCACCTTTCCTTTAGTAGTAACACAAAGACATTATCATTTCATATTTAAACATTTATATGTATCGATCCATCACATGCAGGTACAAATACATTGATGATTGATGGAAACACTGCCTGGCGGATAGGTATTTGAGTTTGTGATCGTAGACACGTAGAAGCGACAAGAGCAGACAAAAAGGTTAAAATATAAATACGATGATGTATAGGGTGGAATGTTGACAAGATGAAATCGAATATTTCTATTATTTTTGAAGATTGTGAAATAATATTGTATCTCTATTAATATCAAATTTTAACAATATTTATACGTGCTTCTTTTTTTTTATAATTATCATCTTTTTTTTTCACCCTATACAATTAAATATTAAATCAGATATTAAATTTCTTCGTAGTCAGCGAATGTACACGATAATGTTAAGCCAAACGAACGATTCTCTCGATTGAACAAGATCAGACGTATTTCAAGGAACAGTGCGTATAAAAAGAATGAGCGGGAAAAGAAGCATTGATAGTCTCACCTTACATCCATTCTGTGGCGTGAAAAACAGGAAAGCATGGTTATTGTTAAGCAGAAAATGAGATCGTGCATAAGAGACGTTCGACATAGCAGTTATTTTTTTTTTTTTTTTTTTTTTGATTACACTACATAAATGATAAAAAAAATGATCGTATTGATTGACACACGAAGAATAGAACGAACCTGCCATGTGCAAGAGATTGCCCACGTTGTGGGCAACACTGTGAGAATGCGGTGGCGGTGGTGGCCTCTCTAAACTGCTCACTCTTCCCTCGTTCGAACCTCCACCACCTACGTTCATATACCCATACCAATAAGCTTTATGCTAATCTCCTTGGCACTTTGTGAAACGCTCATTAATATGCAGTTAGTATTTAATAGCGTCAGAAATACCCTGCGCCCACTTATTTTGAATAATGAATATGACACTCCAAGGCGTGTGCGCCAGCATTGTGAATCATTTAAAACTCCATCCATTTACGAGTACGAAAGATTTAATTCACGGGTAAAGAATATTTTTAAATGAAATAACGAACTGCGGAAAATTACAGAAATAAGTTGACATAAGTTATTCGCGTAAATATGATGATGCTGATTCGAGATTCGCCGATTTCTACGAGTAATAAAGTAATTAACATCACATCGTTTTTTACTTTACATACCTGGGGAATCGTGATAATGTCCGTTCATTTTAGCAGGCGAATCAGTTGCCAATTGAGATGCTGTAACGCTTCGCGTTTGTAATGTGCCCGTCTTCGATGGCGAGGAAGCATTTGGCTGCAAAAACAAATAAGAAAAAATAACCAATCATTTGCAATATTACAAACTTTCTGTTGAAAAATACGTTGAAATTTAAGAAACTCGTACACCTCTGTCCAACTTTAAGGAAAGAGAGCTTTAAGGAAGCTTTTACTTCTATCTATCTCTAAACGTCATCACGTAAATTCCACGTGTTCACGACAATATAGAAACAACTATCAAAGTCAACTTTAACAACTTTAACAAACGCACCTCGTCCAAAAGTTGTCTGAGTCTCTGCAACTGAGCCTCCAGTTGACGATTATGATCCTCTAGTATTTGCATGCGCGCCTCTAATCTTCCCTTGTGCTGTCTCAACAATTTCGCCTCGGCGATCATGTCGCAGTCGGGCTGTCGGTTGCCATGGCCGTCTTCGGGCGTCGAGCCCGGTGTCTGTTTCGAGCGCAATCGTTCGTATTCCGCTTGGAGTGTCGCGTTCTCCTCCTCCAGTTCGCGTATCATCGCTTCAAGCTCCTCCCTTTGCTCGGCATCGATCGCTGCCATCACCTGCACGGGGCTTCTTGGCACGTTTACATTGTCCCCGCCGTTCAAGCTCTGGCAATAATGGGCGATCAGCTGATGCTCGTCATCGCTGTCCGGTGTCGAGTTGCTTCTTGTGCGCGACAGCTCGACTTCCGCCAACCGGGACGCGTACATCTCCAGTCGGGAGTGCATGTCCTGGCTGAGGGAGCTATGTTGCGGCGAAGGCGCCGGGCTTTCCAACGCGTCTCCCTCCAAAACGGTCTGCACCGGCAGATAACCGACTCTTGGATGCTTCTTGAAGTATCTCTTCGACTTGAATTTATTCCGAAGCGCTCTCGTAAAGTCGCGCACGTCCTCGCCAGATGTGGTCTGCGAAATAAACGTTGTATTATTGTTTCTTCTATTACGTGGAAGGCGTATAAAAAGAGCACGAGTATAAACGTAAAAAGTTTTACCGCGGTGCAATATTCCTGCATCGGATGCGTCAACTTGTGGTTCTTCGCTTTCCTGCCTGAGAAGAAACAGTTCTGGCACATGTCGAAATTGAAGCATTTCAAGCAACGATACCTGTAATTCGAACGTAAATAGAACGACGAAATATTGCAAATTTTCTCGAATCTTTTTAATCATTCGAAGGGGATACGGCAAGCACGTAACGATACCTGAATCCAATAATGGGATACTCCTTGCATATGTTACATTTCGCTTGATGCTTTGCGCTCTCCGCGGCGGAGAGTCTATGAAGCACAGGCAACCAAACCATACTCTGCGGCTCTTGTTGCAGCCAGCTCAAAAAGTGAACCGCTTCTATTTCATTTTTGTCTTTTCCAGCCTTCTCGAAGCAGCTGCGAACGCTCGGCTCGATGTTCGACCCGCCAAACGCCGCCACTTCTCCCAACTGCCTCGGCACTTGGATGCAGTCGTGCAACAATAAACCGAGCTTTCGTTGATCCACCAATCTGTTCGGATCAGCGATCAGCCGGAATAGATCTGGAATTTCGCAATTACTTTACACTTTGTGCCGCTTCTTTGAAAAGAAATATTATACAAATAGAAAAAGTATACTCACATCGATATTTTTCTTCCAAATGACCCTTGCACAACAGGACCAAACCAACCTTGAAGGAAAGCACGCGAATCTGACCGGTTCGTTGACTGAAATACGACAACGACGATTTACTAATCAACGATTTTGATTATTATTTTGCCAAACGGATATTAAAGCAACATCATGATTTATTCATGTACCAACAATCGTGCTCACCTATCGTACACGTTGAGGAGCCAATTGATGGCCAAATCGATGCACAAGGGGACAGACACTTGCGTCGGGTTGTCCGCCGTTATCACTTCGTACAGGGACGTCAAGACTGTCACCATGTCGGGAATGTCGATTAGTTTGTCGTTTTGCGCTCGGAGCCCGTGCGAGTCGAACTGCTCTAATGCGGTGGAAAGGCTCAACATGTCCACTGCAAACGAAAAACACGAAAATAAAAGGTAAAAATAAAACGGAAATAAGACGGAAAGATTAATTATATATCGGAGGAATTTTATTCAAAGTGTATCGTGAATGAACGAACCACTGATTCGCCAAGCAAAACAGAATCATGCAAAAGATCAAATCCATCAACAACGAGGACGACGACGACGACGATGACCATGCGTCATCACTGCACGGACACGTGATTAATCGAGAAAAATTAACGACGATTAATGAACACACACGATAAACAAATTAATTACCGGCCGAGGATCTATCGTCGACCAAATACGATTAGCCGGTCGCTACTAAAAGCCAACAATACTCACGGCACAATCGTTTCTGAACGGTGCGCAGTTTCATGGCGGTCCTGTACGCTGAAAATCGTACTTCGTTCAGGTCCGCCAGCGAGGACATCAGCTCTATCATTTTCGGATGATCCCAATGGGTGGTCTCCGACTGATGGCTGCAAACCCCCCATGGGATTAGACAAAACCCGATCCAGGGATTAAGAGATTGAATGAAAATTTTCACGCAACAGCCACGGATCACGGAGAAAGGGAAGTTGGCAAAGTTCTCGCGGCAGAACTTTGTTTAATCTTTATTAAATCCGGCCGCGATTCTTGGCTCGAGAGAGGCCAAGGTTTTAAGAATTTACCCACGGCTCGACGAATTCGCGAATTCATCCGATTCCATGGTATTCGCGATGATCCGGATATAGGGGGCGAACCGAAATCGGCTTTAACTCTCGATCGAGAGACCCGCAAGATGGCGATTCGCCGCCGCTGCTCTTTCCACCTGTCTCGCTGGTTATGACAGTTATGGAAAAGTATGGAGGCTAAAGTTTAATCCTTGCCAGCCTACAGAGATTTTAACATTTCAGTTGATATTTTATCTCAAGTTTAAAAACCTGTTAATTCTCCTATAACTCATCTGTATCGAAATATTTCTATTAAAATTGTAATTGTAACTTTTAATGGAAAATAACGTGCAAACGATATACGGTGTGAAACGATATAACCTATTATAATGTAAAAGAATCCAAAACCAACACGGTTTGAACAATATCGATTTCGTTTTCGATCAAGATTAAAACCTTTTCAACTCGGCCAATGGCAAACCGATTACGCGATCAATATTCGATCAGCTCGTCGATCTAAATTAGAATTTCTATCGTTTCATCCATTCTCAAGCGCCACCAAGCTCGACTAAATATTCGTCAAATCTCTACGACGAGATTCTCGCGAACTTCTTCCCGAATTTCACAATTGTCTCGTCAATTATTCGTTTGTTTGCGTTTGAGATCGCGCTTCCCCCTCCCCTTTCTCCCGATCCCGTGGCTCTTCCTCTCCATAAATTAAACCGGCCAGGTTTGGCTCGGTGCAAGGAAGATCGATTACTTGATATAGTAAGGCACTTTGGCGGGTGTGAGGGCTCTCTCCCATGGTGGTTCCACGCTGCTCGCGAGGAAAGCCTGGCTACCCGGAGTGCTGCCATCCTTTCCAAATCCGCTTAGCAACTTGTAACGCTCGTCAACCGCCACTTGCAGCACCTTCCACCTGCGAAAACACGCGAAAAACTTAGCTTTCTTCGAACGATGGTTAAAAAAAATAAGCAACGAGTTTTTTTTTTTGAGTAATCCTCGCGAATCATTTTTTTTTCTTTTTTTAGGATCATTGCGAAACTTTTTTAAAAAGACGAGTATCGTACTTTTTTTTTTTTGTTTAAGCGATAGGGGTCATCGATTTAAAACTTTCAAACTTTTTAAAGATTGCGAGAAAAAGAATATCAATTCGTGTATAATTGGTGTATATAAGTGAGCGTGGGTAAGAAATTGTCCGTGATGATTGATAAGTGAGGCTTATACACTTGTTGTATATAAATTTGCACACAGTCATTTTTGCACATTTCTCTTCGAACGTGTCGAGGAAAAAAATGACATCGATAGCTTTATTCGAAGGGTGAAATTTTGCAATTTTGAATGGAAGATTCGTATCGTGAAACGTTATACAGACATATAAGTGCAGCTATAAGCACATGTTGCGTAACTGAATGGCGTATTTTGCTTTACGCGAGAAGAAGAATAAATGGTGATGTTCAGAGTTTTAAAGTTTAGAAGCGAGTGGAGCGGGTATTTAACATTGTTGTTTGAAAAGCTTGAATTAAAAGTGCGTACGTTATAATTTCGTGTATCTGGGGTGTAATAATTGCATAAATTCTCTCCCTTTATTCGGCGGATGAAGCCGTTACGCCATTAAAATAATGCAAAACACATTCTACACACCATTATGTCGCGATAAATACCCAACCATTTAGCGCGAGTTCCAGATTGTAATCGATATCATATTTATTGTATCTGTGTTTAAACACACGCGATATCTCGTTTTGCTATTTTCGAACGAGCAGTTTCCCAACTTTATTTTACAATGATTCTTTCAACCGCGACCGAAAAGCGTTATTAAAAACTGATATTACTTTTACTCAGAAGACCAGAAAATATATTACCGTCTAAAATTTCCCATTTACATACCCATATAATAAGATTTTATCCAGGGAAAAGAGCAAATTTCTCTTTAAGTGGGGACAGTTGGTCGCATTAAGCGAGATAAATTTGAAATGGCGTTCCCAGAATGGGGGTATGAACGTACCTGGTGTTGAGATCTTCGAGTTTCGCCAGCAAAGCATGAGAAACGATGACGCTGCTCGAGGCGAAGACGCTCGCTTGATCGTTCGCGTACTCGATGCTCCTCTGGATGGGCAACAGTCGTTCGCCGAATTTCTCCAATTGCTTCAGCAATTCCGTCGCCTCGTTCGCGTCGCTTGGATTCTGCCACCCGCTTTGGATCGCCTCGGCGCCGGCCATCCGCGACGAAAGATCCTCCAGCGTCTTTTGGAACACGCATATTTTCTGCCAAAGGGAACCAAAAATTCTCTTTATTCCTCGCTTAAGTTTAAATCTAAATTTAAAAAGAAAAAAAGAAAAAAAAAAATGCCAAACATTTGTCTCGAGCCAAACGTGGTGGAGATAATATTTCAAGAACGAAGAATCATGAAAGAGAGGAGGGATTGCAGTTTGGCAGGCTTAAAGTCCAAACTTTAACGCAATTTCTTCTCGCGCGGAAAGTTTCTCGCGCCGGTTTAAACGAAACGTTGGTGCTGCTATGATTTTACCTCGGACGTTAAACTTTTAAGTGTATAATATAATATACGTGTGATAACTTTTGCTTCTCTCGTTTTCTTTTCCCTGCTCCCCCACCCCGTTGTAAACTCGAGGAAAAATTTGTCTTTAATAGCGGCGGGATCCTGCGTACTGTTCCTTGCAACCTGAAAGTTGAGTGAATAAATTTATCAGGGGGGGGAGGGGGGAAGGGAAAGGATAGAATGGAATTGAGGCATCGTTGTTTGGAGAGAGAGAGAGAGAGAAAGAGGAGAAACGTTAAAATGATCGAGCTTTTGTATTTACAACCTCTTTCTTCCCCGTTTTACGTGTTGTACTTATCCTTGTGTAATTCTAATTTCGTTTATCTTTCGACATTTTCGACATTTCTTCTTCTCCTCCTCCTTTAAATTTTTTGCTATCGAATTTCTCTCTTTTCTTAATGTTTTCTCGTTGTCAAGAATTCTATCCCCTCTGGAATTCTACTCGCACTTCTACTCTCCTACCATGTGGATGTAGAAATTTTTCTAAGTTGCAATTTCATCGTGGCAAAGAGAAGCTCGAGAAGAGAAGTCTAAGAGAAGTTCTCCGGGATGATAAATTATTTTTCACCACTGATTGTGGATAGACACTGCCTACGAAGTGAAAGCAACTCAAAAGAAATAATCGAACAATCGATAGAAATAACTTTGAACTTGTATAAATAATTATATATTATATAAGGTTAAGGTAAGGCAAACTTTTTTACAAATCTATTTATATATAAAGAAACTAGAAACTCGCGATATCGATTTACCTAGTTATCCTAGGTAATATCCTTGTAATTGCTATTTTCGATAACAATATCAATACGTCAATTGTTGATTAATTTTACACGATCATTTTACATTATCCTCAACGATTATTTTAAATTTTATAAAGATAAACATACGATTAATCCACGAAATTCCTCCACAGACGCGTTATCAAATAATTTCTATGCAAGGTATACACGAGTTATGCCTTATATATGATGATCATTTCCATCAATATAATTCGTCTCGAAAAAAGAATTAAACACCGATCACATATTTTCCTACTAAAATTTAACAATCTGCAAAAAAATTGGATTGCTTTTAATTAAATCTCGCGAGGAAACGTTTAATTCGTATACATTAAAATATTTATCGGATAAAAGAAATTTGAACGAGGTCCCCAATTTTCAGATACTGTCGACACCGAAAATAGCGTTTCCCGGATGAGAGAGACGTGGTTCGAAAAGAAAGTTGCAAGCGTAATTGTCGGGAACGAAGAGGTTTATGGTCATGAAAATCACGTTTTTACGGTTTACCAGGTTTCGTGCTCTCGCTCAGTCGCGAGTGTAACAGTTGCTATTAAAATTCGTTATAAATTGTAGTCGAGGCCCTCGGGATTTTGTTGCCGAGAGAGTGCTGATTGCTTCGCGATAAAGACACTAATGGCGAAGCGACGACAAACATGTTGAGAGAGATGGCGAAAAATTAAATTTCTTAACGATATATTTCAAGCGGATGTAAAATATAAAAAAGGAGTATAACGATATTCTTATTTCTTCGATCGAAAGTGAAACGAATCAGATGAAATTTATAAAATCTGTTTAATTATAATTATAATAGTCGTATCTCTTCAATGCCACGACAAATTTTTAATCTTTCTTCTTTTCGTTAAGATTTAATAATTGGCACGACAAAAAGGAGGGAAAGCATCGAGTTGAAACAATTAGATTTTCCAAGTTCCTCTTTGTCAACCGGTAATAAAGTAGTTAGAAAATCTCCGGAGTTTTGATTGAAGTAATTCGGGTAAATTGAATTCTTCCTTGTTTAAACGAGTCTTAAACGACAAGCAACAAGTTAATAAATAATTAATTGAAAGAAGCTACGGGAAATTAAATTTTTTTTTATCATTTTTTAATATTCGTATTATATTGCATATCAGAATTGTATCACTGACTAACCTCGCAACAACCCATTTATTCCTCGAATTTTAACGTCTTTCATTAATCAAAATCATGACGATACAAATTTTTTCCAAGAGGCTTTCACGCTTATTAATTTTTTTTATCGAATCTCACAAATCTTCTTGGCAAAATTAATATTCCATGTTATAATACGATAAAAATACGTACAAACTCGCTGCAGTTGCAAAAACCGATGAAACGAGTAATCACTCATACGATGCGATTTTCCACTCAACTCATTTTTTTCAACAAATCGTCAGAAATTCTGGAATCCCCTCAAAATGCAATAAACGAGGCTACTTACATCACTTTAATTGCTTATTTCTACAATATTCAGATATACTTTGAAACTTATTTATAGTTTCTTTTCACATTTTCCCAAGAATTTTCTTACCTACTATTAACTTTTACTCGTTGTGCTCGTTACAAGGATTCGCAATAATCTTTATGTGTAATTCTAACAAAAAAAAAAAAAAAAATACAGCGGGTGAAAAGAGGCCGCCTCGTGGATTCTCCGGGCGACGGTTTCCGATGAAAGAGCCGTTGGCGGCGAGATAACCCGCCTTTTTCCGCTCCGATAAATTACATTCGACGTGGTGGTGTGCACACTCCGTCTCGCGAATAGAGGGGACAAAAGGGCCGCGACAATAACCCTTAAACAACACCTAACATCCCTTTCAGGCCGGCCTGACGAAAGCAGCCACGCTTTCCATTCATTCGATTACCCACCCTCTCCTCGCTTAAGTCGCTCTGCCTCTTCGCGCCAGAGAACCAAGCCACGCGTGCGTTGGAAAACACCGGCCGCAACGAGGAGAAAACGATTCGACTTCGACCACTTTGCTTCGATTACGTTGTTTGGCCTGCTCTTTCTTTTCTTCTTGATTTCCGTCCAAGGAGAGGATTTATCGTAGGATGGATCGTTCGATTCATCGACATCTTCTGTAAACTCTTTTATCTAATATTTATTGGAGTTTACGGATCTCCTTATTTTTTTTTTTTTTTTTTTTGCATGTCCTAAAAATTCTGAGGAAATTTCTTAGAGTTTCTTCTTTCGATAATAATCGAACAGGATGGGATTAGAGTTTTGTTACTATTTTGTTTCGTAATAATTTAAATAAGATCTCCAAAAAGTTATAACGAAGAAACCAAGCTAATCCCGAAAATCCTGCGTTTTAGGGTTAAGAGGGTGCTCCACGCAAGGGGCTCGAAAAATTAAAAAATAATGCATCAAGCGAGAAATTATACGAGGGTGTAAGAAAGGGGTAACGAGAAGAACGGAATAGAGGACAGGATGCAACAGTGGAAGAACAGTGGGGAACAGTGGAGAACGGGGAAACAATAGGCAGAACGAATATAGAGAATAGAAAGAGAGAGAGAGAGAGAGAGAGAAGAGAGAGAGAAGAGGAGGAACGAGAGGAGAGCGAGAGAAAAGGAGAAAAGGGTCGGTCGGAGGAAAGAGCAACGGGGAGAAGGAAAGAAGGAGAGGGGAGGGGAGAGGTGAACAGTGGAAAAGGGTTGGGAAAAGTCTGCATTTGCATTCCAAATAAACGTCGACGACGGACGCTAAATCGCTCTAATTAGTCGTCCCGCTATGAAAGTACTTTAAGCGGCGCTTGTTCGACATCCAGAGCGCGTTCTTAAAGCGGAAAAGCGAAGAAAAAGCCGCGGAAAGGAAAGTCGATTCGACCCCCCCCCCGGAAGTTGGCTCTCGTGTCGTCAAAGTGACGCCATCAGGGATTCGATGAAACGCTGTACACGTTCTCCCCCTTTATTGTCACTTGTGGGTCACGATCCTCGTAAAATAAAACACGTACGTTTAACCAATGAATCCTTCGCACCTTGCATGAGATATTTCGCGCGTTTCTTTCCTTTTTTTTTTTTTTTTCCATTAGACTTTTTTTAACAATTTCTTACATTCACGTACGCAACAGCGATCAGAAACTGTATCACATACGCTTATTTAAATTGGATATTTTAATTATGTAAATAATGATATCTTATGGAGCTTAAATTTCGAAATCGTGCCTGAAAGATAAAAATCCACGCAAAAGAAAAAGAAAAGAACGTTTCTTCCTTGAAGCAATTCACACGCTTGATTACAAAACCATGATTGCTGAATGCAATCGATTTGAGACGGTCTGGAACAAATTTATTACAATATCCCTTCAAAATCTCGCCAATACTTCGATCGAAATTTATTTTACACGTGGAAAATAAAGGAAAAGAGAGACCGATTGGAAGACGATTCCTCCTCCACCCCTCCCTTTCCCAGGATTTAATCCCGGTGATAATAAATCGGCCGGCGAAAGAACGCGAGAGAACGCTTAAAGTGACGCGATCCAAGATGAATGCACCGCTGGAAATAAGATTGCACAGCCATCGATACGGGGCCAGAAATCGTCCCAGCGAGGGAAGAAGCGAGGGGGAACGGTCGGTGGGTGTTGGAGGCGGAGGACGAAACAATTTTTCCTCCTCTTGGCTTGGTCTGCAATGTCATTTATTATGTAGCCAACCGGGCAATTAAAGTTAACTCGGCCGTGCTTTCGCCCTCCTTCTCCCTTATACTCTCTTTCCTCCGTGTCTCTCCTCGAGCGCGACCTCCTCCTCCTCCTCCTCCTCTCGTCCCCGTCGTCATCGTCGTCGTCGTCGTCGTCGTGTCGTGTTCTGGCCAACTTCTTCGCGGAATCCACCGAGAGCTAATTGTCTGGCGCCGTTCGATGCTCTCTCCTCCCCCCCTCCTTGCGCCGCCGTTACGAGCGCCGTTCGATAATTAGCG